ATTTCTAGGAATTTTGTGCCGCCATATTGCTTTTAACAATAACAAATTTCGTATGGCCGAAAACTGGGGGTTTATTTCATGTAAGATCATTTAGCTATTAATCCAAGTTCGTTCTTGATTTCACTTGTATTCGTGTTTTACCTGTTGTTTGTGTTGTTTATTATTATATTATAAAATTTATGTCGTTTGGGTCACTTTTCATATAGACCCGAAGAGGCGAATCTTAACAATATGCACTACTGGTCCAAATCTACCTTGAATGCAAGTAGTTCAGCACCAAGACCGTTGGTCGGTACCTACATGTTTAGGCAGAAATTCTAGGATGGCGAATGATTGGATTTTTTTAATTATCTGAATGAAATGAACTATCCATAATTTCTAAGAAGTACCGGGATTGTAGAGATGAATTGCCAATTTTGTTAGGGGATCCATCATGATGAAATTGCATTTGTTGCAATTTCATCGGCATGAATTTTATCAGCAATTTCATCAGCATGCAGTTGGTGTAGATGATGCAGTTGGTGCAGCTTGGTCGCATTTTCTGCTATGAATGTGTGGGGCTTCTTGGATACAACTTACTTTAGTAGATAGAGACGCAGAGCGGCATATTCCCATGGCCAGCTAGGTCATCGGATTCAATATGCCTGGGTTTTAATTTATGGGGTCGAAGCAAGAACGGACATGGATAAATAACAATTAAATGGTATTAAAATGAAATTAAAATATATGTTTTGATATTTTGACCTAACCAATTTACTTCTTTTTGTTTCCTAGCCTACTACCACAGCTACTCTAATTTTTAGATTTGAACATGATTTTTTCTCTTAATATCTTCGGTTAGAGACAAGATAGAAAGTTGCGGTTTGCGCTAGTATTTTGGAAATTTTGTGCTCTATTTAATTGTGCAAAGATAAATATAGCCTCCTATTTTAAATTTTTATGCAAAAGCGCAATATCTGTTATGATGTCAAACAGTGCCCTCTAGCTACCACGAAAAAAATTATAAAAACAAAATTTATACTGGAGATCATTAAGGAAGAAAAGCTCTTTTAAACGAGCTCTAGTTGGTTTAAATCGGCTAACCTAAACCAGAGTTATCCTTATTTTAATAAAAGCAAGTTTAACCTTTCCTCACCACTTTATTTTATGAGATAGAGCAAAATACTTTATATCAAAAAAATTACAAATTTCTCGATGATTACAATAGTAATATTTGAAATATCTGTTCACCTGCATATTTTTCAGAAAAACCCTGTTTTCTGATTGGCTATAAGAGAAACGCCCCCTAGCGGACTTTTTTCGAACTTGAAAATAATTTCCAGCGATTTCTCTTGGTCGATTTACTTATAAGAATTGTTTCCCCTAAGTTATATGCAATAAGTAGTTTCTGAGATACAGCCGGCGTCCATTCTTAGTTGGCCACCCGGTAGCGTATTTACATAGTATACTACGGTACAGAGCCCCATAGAACGCGGCGGCTCTGTAACGCAGTATGGTATGTAGTTGTAAACCGCCCTCATTTTCTACTACATACTATACTACGGTGCAGAGCCGGTAGAAAAAAAAATGTATTTATGATGCTATTATTGTTGTTTAGTGCCAAAATTGAGTAATACTATATTAAATTGTAATGTGTTATATTAATATTGATTTTTTATCCTTGATAATTGACAACTTAGATATACGTTTTATTATTTCATTGAATATTCACATTCAAGATAGACTCAAAACCAAAACGAAACAAGACCTATCACTTGGTGTTTAATGTGTCTGCGCTTTAGTGATTACGTGATAAACCTTTTCATTTTGGTTTTTAGTCTGTATTGAATATGAATAGCCTGTAAGTACCTATGTCATAAGTATATTCAAGTTGAAGAAAAGTCAAATTAAAAAAAAACTACTATAATATTAAACCGAAATATAATAAAACAATGCCTATATGAATCTATTTTTAAAATCAAACTCCTAAATAGTCACCATTCCATGCATTTAATTCGCGTATAGTGGCATCTTTTGTTTTACAAACATATGTGCTCAGTTGAAGAAAATTATAAGACTCTCAATTTAAACTTCATTCCCTCATTATCAACCATTGATAGAAAGAATTTAGATAAATTAGCCATGGGGGAAAACCTTCATGACGCCTTTTTTGAAAATATGATGGATACTTTAAACACCCATGATTTAACAAATGAGAGTAGCAACAAAGAACCATGTGACACTCTCAACTTCTTTGACCAAGAAATGGTTCCGAATAAACCAACACCTTCAATATTATTATCATCATGCAGAAGAACTTGAGAAAAAATAAATTGCAGTAAATCAGTTAAGTTAAAATTTCTTAAGTCAGAATGGTCAGAATGGACTGAAACGACAAACATGGTGGTGAAACATAATAAGACTTTAGAAAAAATAAAGAGTACAACAGAGCTTTTGAGCTTATTCACCTCCATGAAAAATATACGTCGTGGGAGATTAATCAAGGTACAGCCTACCTCCCTGAGTAGGAGAACCAAAAGATCTGGAATGACATCTGGATCTAAAAGAATTCAGGCAGGAAGGCCTGCAAATAATGAAAAAGTGATTCGAAAATGCAAGGCTCAAAGATCACTAAATGAAACTGTTCTTAATAATCGCCAAAATGTCAAATCTCACTAAAATATTAACTAAAACCATTTTTATTTATAGTTAATATTTTTAGTGGAATGTTAATGTTAAAAATATTTGTTCAATCGATATGTGTTACTAACTTCTATTTTCTATTTTTGAATAATAATAATTGTATCAATAAAATGATTGTATCACAATAATATGTTGTTTTTTTTTATTTTAAATTGTGGCATTAAACATTATTGTTATAAAAATAGGAAAGCGCTGGTATTAAACATTTCATTTACTGCCAATAATATTGCATTAAAGAGCAAAATAGTGTTTATTCCCTGTCTTATCACTTTATATTTAATATAAAATAAATAACTAAATTACTTCATGATATACTGAAATTTATTATCAAATTTTATTGGCAAAAAATAACTCGCTAAATTTGTCCTATTTTTAGTTTGGGTTAAGTATTAGGCTTTCGTGGAATGAAGAAAAATATAAAAACCTAAACTGCAAAGCAATAAAAATACAACCAACCTTTACAGCATTATTATAGTTTGTTATTTCTAGTAAATTTTTAAGCTTTTTATGCATTAATTTGAACACAAATGCATATCTAAGTTGTCAATTATCGATATTAATATAACACATTACAATTTAATATTGTATTACTCATTTTTGGCACTAAACAACAATAATAGCATCATAAATACATTTTTCTTTCTACCGGCTCTGCACCGTAGTATAGTCTGTCCAACGAGAAGATCCTTGACAGTGATAGATGTGTCTGTCATTTTAATTTCAAACTAGTTTATTTTATTTTACAAAGAAATAAGTTGGTACAACTGGAACGCATAGCAGGAAATATTTAAAATTTGATTGACAAGATGGCAAGTGATTACTTCAAAATATTGTGAAAAAAACTGTATAAAACTGAAAAAATGTAATCGAGTTATTTTATTTAATAAAAACGGTATGTGTTAATACAAAACAAACAAGAACAAGACACTACATACCAAAAAAATATAAAAAAGAACTATTATTTACTTTCAAGCTTTATGAAATTACCCGCATTTATGATTATATTTATCAATATTACTTATGTACAAATACAAATTTGTAATATTCCACAGGAATAAATAAAACAACATAGGTAAATAAAACAAACTATTTTATTAATAATAACTCCTACCAAATTTTATACCTTAAAGGTTGATTAATTAACTTTAATCTTATTTTTTTAAACCAGTACCTTTGGCATTATTTTTCTGCAGTACTAAAATCCATTATTTACCTATCGTGTGATGTCGATATTTTACAGCTACTCCAGTTTTTAGTATGTGTTTAGTTTGATCCTTCTACCATATACGAGATGCACTTATCTACGACGAAATGGTATACAAACTTTATAGATGGCAACTTCATTGGTGTATAAGACTTTTTGCCTGGGCAGGGAGTATTAACCATAAACTGTGCTCTGGGTCTACAGTTAATTTTCACTCGATTTTTCCTCCACTTGACTTCAAAAGACACAAAACACACGTAATAATACGAATCAAAATGCATCATCTTCCAAAACGCAGGGTATTTAACAAAAGTTGACACAAAATTATAACCTGTTCTGTGATTATAACCTATAATTTGGCAACTTTGACGACTTTGACAAGCGTCAAAAATGACAAGAATCTAGAGGCGAGTTCATACGCATCAGCGTCCGTTTGTCGTTCATCGTTCCGTCAAACCAATAAAATTGAAATACGATCTGTCATTTTTTAAATAAACCAATAAAACTGGTTAAAAACAACAAGACACGACGTATGATGGATTTATATTTAAACCCATCCATAGATAACTTAAAAATGATTAGAAACTTTTTTTAGTAAAATAAATAGATTGGTATGGGACGTCATCTGCTTTTCTTCTGTCATCGTCTGTCGAAATCTTACCTGAGAAAAAAAACAGAGTATAGTAGAAAATAAGGGCGGTTTACAACTACATACCATACTGCGTTACAGAGCCGCCGCGTTCTATGGGGTTCTGTGCCGTAGTATACTATGTAAATACGCCACCCGGTACATTTTCTTGGCAGTCATTAGTTTACGGCAGTGGACTATAATAATAATTATTATAGTCGACTGCCATACAATTATTGTATGACAGACATTCTTGGCAGTCGCTTGGCAGTAAAATTATATTTTAGCAGCACATGTACATTTTCTACCCATGTGAGACACCCCTCGCTTTAGTCTAACAATTGTTCTTCACTGTTTTAGTTTAACATACGTTTTATTTTTTAAGCACGAAGGAATTTTCTTTTTTCTCAGCTCTAATTCTTGTTCATTTCCGCTTAAAAAAGTAAACCTATAAGAATTCTATCCCTTCAATGGTTCTCCTTCCAGGGTGAAATCGAAAGTAACCTCCTCACCACTCTCTATTTGCTCTCTATTCTCACCAAACTGATGAAGAAATGCAATGAGGAGGAAAAGTTCAACGTGCAACGCATGGTGTTCGCTTTGAACCAGCTGCAGCTGACCGTGAGAGGGGGACAGACATTGCTGCATTTGGCTTGTAACCATGAAACGCCAGTGGATGATTTTCATACAAAGGATGTATGCAAGTAAGTTGGAAGATCGAAGCGTAAATAGTTTTATGTCAAATTTTCCATATAACGCCGTTTTTTATCTTATTTATGAACATAAGTATGTATATAGAGTATATTATATTGTGTCATTGAAATGGTGTAAAAAAAATCGGAGGGTGATAGTACTACTAAAAATAGTAAAAAAAGTTCCTATAAGTATAAGGCGGATAAAATTTCGAAAAAAAAATGCTCTGCCATAAATTTTGACCCTAAATCAAATGGTGATACTGAAAAATTATTTGGAAAAGCGGAAAGGGTAGATTTTGCAAGGGTAGGGGGTTGTTTCAGAATAACTTTTTTGAGGTTACTTTTTTTGCAACGTGGGTTCATTTTTTGTTTGGTTTGGTTTGGTTTGGCTTCCAAAATTACATACTTTTTCCTACAAAAAAGGTGCTCTTGTTGCACATCGCCCAGAGCGATGGTTTTCGAGAAAATTGAAGGCAAAGAGTTTGCTCTGATGGGTTGCTAACTGGTTAATCAACATAAACTTATGGTTTAACTTTAGCTAAAGTTATGGCGGTTCAAAAGTAACCAATTAGCTATCAAATAATTAATTGAAAAATCAAAATTTCATGATTTTTAAAACATCTTATTGCTTTAAAAACGAAATAAACCAATTACCAAAGTTCCTTATTAAAATAATGCATTCATAGTAAATGTTTAAAGTGACCACCATTCATTTCAATGCAGACATCTGCTCTTCTTCTCCAAGATCTGCGTACCCTGTGGAATATCCTTGGTGTTGTCCGAATTTAATTGGAACAGTCAATAATGCGTTGCCGTAGTTGCTCTTCAGTATTAATCGGCACTGAGTAAACCAAAGCTTTCAGAAGTGGAAATCTGGTGGATTATTTCGTTTTTTAAAGCAATAAGATATTTTAAAAATCATAAAATTTTGATTGTTCAATTAATTATTTGATAACTACTTGTACCCCAGTGCAGTTATGACATTCACCATGTTGAAATTGCAAAAATTTTTAGAAAGCTGCGACTATTGAAAATAGTTATAGTCTGTCCAACGAGAAGATCCTTGACAGTGACAGATGTGTCTGTCATTTTAATTTCAAAGTAGTTTATTTTATTTTACAAAGAAATAAGTTGGTACAACTGGAACGCATTGCAGGATATATTTAAAATTTGATTGACAAGATGACAAGTGATTACTTCAAAATATTGTGAAAAAAACTGTATAAAACTGAAAAAATGGAATTGAGTTATTTTATTTAATAAAAACGGTATGTGTTAATACAAAACAAACAAGAACAAGACACTACATACCAAAAAAATATAAAAAAGAACTATTATTTACTTTCAAGCTTTATGAAACTACCCGCATTTATGATTATATTTATCAATATAACTTATGTACAAATACAAATTTGTAATATTCCACAGGAATAAATAAAACAACATAGGTAAATAAAACAAACTATTTTATTAATAATAACACCTACCAAATTTTATACCTTAAAGGTTGATTAATTAACTTTAATCTTAATTTTTTAAACCAGTACCTTTTGACATTATTTTTCTGCAGTACTAAAATCCATTATTTACCTATCGTGTGATGTCGATATTTTACAGCTACTCCAGTTTTTAGTATGTGTTTAGTTTGATCCTTCTACCATATACGAGATGCACTTATCTACGACGAAATGGTATACAAACTTTATCGATGGCAACTTCATTGGTGTATAAAACTTTCTGCCTGGGCAGCGAGTATAAACCATAAACTGTGCTCTGGGTCTACAGTTAATTTTCACTCGATTTTTCCTGCACTTGACTTCAAAATACACAAAACACACGTAATAATACGAATCAAAATGCATCGTCTTCCAAAACGCAGGGTATTTAACAAAAGTTGACACAAAATTCTAACCTATAATTTGGCAAGACTTTGACAAGCGTCAAAAATGACAAAAATCTAAAGGCGAGTTCATACGCATCGGCGTCTGTTTGTCGTTCATCGTTCCCTCAAACCAATAAAATTGAAATACGATCTGTCATTTTTTAAATAAACCAATAAAACTGGTTAAAAACAACAAGACACGACGTATGACGGATTTATATTTAAACCCATCCATAGATAACTTAAAAATTATTAGAAACTTTTTTTAGTAAAATAAATAGATTGGTATGGGACGTCATCTGCTTTTCTTCTGTCATCCTCTGTCGAAATCTTACCTGAGAAAAAAAACAGAGTATAGCCTTAGTAACTCTTATTAACATATTAAAAGTCCCCATTTGTCCGGTGTGTGCGTCATCAAAAAAAATCGGCCGCCATCATGAATGGCATGAATTTTGATACTTTTTGGAAAAACATGTACATAACTCGAAAACAGTACGTTTTAGCGAAAAATTTCAAGAGGTAAAAATTGAAGAGAATTAAAAAATCTACCAGATGCATTAAAAACTAATTTAGTCTCGCAGCGAAGATTCATCTCATGAATTCTTAAATCCGGAAATATTCTAGAATCAAGCATTCGCAAAGCGAAAATCGTATAGAGTGTAAAATGTTATTTAATAGGTTACTTTTTTTGAATTTTCGTACTTGTCTTTAATATTAACATTCACATAAAAATAAAATATAAAATAAAAAAAATATATTTTAAAAGTTTATTTGATAAACTGTTGAGTTTGATATCGGTCGCCAAAATCATAGTAGGCCTGTTACTAGTAAGTAGTGTTTTTACTGTTACTTCTTCTAAGCAGATGGAGATGCAGATATAGTTTTAGTAAATTATGTTTTGAAAGTAAATGCATCTTCTACGTCGGCGTCGGTTACTTTAGTTGGCGAAGCAAATACTGATTTATGAGTTTTATTACCGCATTATCGGACAAAAAATTCTATTTTTATGCTTCGGCATGGAAAATCGTCCAAACCTCACAGAGTAACTGACATCGGTAATATGCAGAACAAGATTGGTAACATGAAGCATTCAATCTTATTTGCAGATGCTATATTATGATGTGGTACAACCTCGTGCTTGTTTAAAAAAGGTAAACTGGCGACTTTCAAAACGTTGGAAAAAGATCATCTTCGACAAATTACATCCGTTTTTTTAGATCCTGCAGCACAAAAATCTGAGCTAGTCGAAGCTGGAAATACTTTCTTATTTTCATTATATGGTCGACATAGGCTAGCAAAAGATTTAGATCAGTTGAGGTATTAAAAATATAAAACCCTTACATCTCGTCAGGTACTTGGTAAAACTTTGATTCAGCTACCTTACCTCCAACAACTAACGCAGCTGAAAATCATTATTATAGGACCTATTTACAAATGGCTAAATAACGGAAAAGAGGCAACAGAATGGGGATGTGTAAAAAAACGGATACCTTAGTTCCAAAAACAATGTCAAACGCAGTGGCACCAGAATTTGTATTGAAAATGATTTACTGTAATTGCAAATCTGGATGTAATAAACTATGTACATGTTTAAAATCCAATATGCCATGTTCAAGCTTGTGTGGTGTGTGGTAATTGTCATGGTATTTCTTGCGACAACAAACAAATATCGGTCGATGGAGAACAAATCGAATAAAATTGTAAACTTCATTTTTTTTCTAGAGATGACAGTTTGAAACGTTAGGTTACAAGTTGGTAACACATTTTTATTAAAATGGTATATTAAAAATAATAGATATCATAATTTGAATTATTGTTATTCGATTTGTAGGAGTATGTTTATAATGCATTTATCATAATGAAAAAGTGTTAAGATCGTAGATGATATTTATGTCAAAAAGGCATTCGCAAGTACTTTATTACATTTTATTTTTTTCTTCCAACTTGTAGCCTAATTTTTCAAACTGTCACTGTATTTTTAAAAACAAGTTGTTTACAAAATGGTAATAAAAAGGCCTTGGTTTAAGTGCAAATAGCCCCGACCGGGACAAGGTGGAGGCTGCTTTCGCACAATATTAGTACACATGTATTTAGTAAAGGATAGCTTTTACAATTTTTGTTAATTTTGAAATATTATTAAACCACCAATAGATATTTCTTGAAAATGTCACAAGGATTGTATTTTAGTTGAATTGATGCTAAATATCCATGTTATTTGTTAATAAGCTTAAAAAATTAGTAATTTGCATTTCGGTTCTTTTTAAAAATTGCTCGATTTTTAAAAAAAATTTGTACGTCACTGCGTTAGGATAATAAACTATTTTTTACCGACTCTGATAGACTTTTTAATTCTCTTTAATTTTTACCTCTTGAAGTTTTTCGCTGTAACGCACTGTTTTCGAGTTATTTACATTTTTTCCCGAAAAGTACCAAAATTCAAGATGGCGGTCGATTTTTTTTGATGACGCACACACGTCACAATTTTCTCAAGTGACTATGAGAATGTGCAATTAGTTTTTTGATTTTCTTAAAAGTAACGACAGGAAAAAATAAAATTGATTTTCAAAAAAATCCGTTTTTCCAAAAAACTCAGCAATCCTTGAAATTTTTAAAACTTTTTTGATGGCATCTTAGTGAACATCACAAAGCGCAACTTTGCCCCAATTTAACCATGTTCGTATCTATTATGGTAACCGAGATACCAATGCTCGTACCTCGAATTTGTAGCACCCTGTAGAGTATATTATATAATAAAGCTCTCTACAGTAAAAACTGTACAGTACTTTTTTTATTTTCGATAAGTCCAAAATTAATGCATGATTTGCAAGAGTATACTAAATAATATTTTTTTTTTTAGTGATTGGTCAAAATTTTGGCGCCCAACGTGGGGCTATGTGAAAACGACTATTATATTTCTTGAAAATGTCACATAACGACTCACATTGGTGTATTGGACCGTTTGACATTAATACTAATAAAAAAACATTGAATATGAATGTCAAAACATCGATAAAAACGTTCAATACTAGTATAATGCGGTTTTATATTTCACAGTTTTGGATTTATAGGGGTATTATTTATATAGGGAATCTACATGAAAACTAGCTTCTCACTGTCTCTTAAATTGTAAACAAAGTTTCTAACCAACTAAAATAGCAATCAAGAATTAGAACAATTGTCCATTGTTACATTCTTGTTCAAAGTGAATTATTAAAGAACCTTGAAGCCTATGTTTATTTAATTAGACTGAAATAGTCTTATAATTATATTTTATTTCAGATTTCCTTGTGCTGAAACTACAAAACTTCTCATCAGATGTGGTGCCAATGTGAACGCAATGGACAACGAAAGAAACACCCCTCTTCACGTGATAGTAAACTACAGGAAAGCTATAGCGGATTTTTTGACGTTGCATTCTATCATCACAGACTTGACGGAAAATGGTGCTCACACTGATATAGTTAATAACAAAGGCGAAACTCCGTTAGAAGCGTCAACAACAGGTTAGTAGTCACTACTACGTCTACGTAAAAACCGTCGTAAATGTATACTTTTTACTAAGTAGTTTTATAGAGGTATGGACGAAAAGTTATTACTCTTCAAACCAGTAAAAGATATGTAGGTGGCGCCCTCTACAAGTAGGAGTCATATTGACATCAAAATCAAATTTTTCATGTCAAAAAAATCCCAGACACCAATGTTCATCCAAAAATTGACGTTACTTCAGAAATTATTTGAAAAAAATCTAAATAAAAATGAAACTTCTACACCCTCCAGTATCTCCGAAACTAAGCATTTTAGGACATAGTTTCCGGAATAGAGTTAGGACTACCCTATACTTTTCTACACTTTTATATTGTTAGGTTTCTTAGCCATCTTGAATAGATACGAGTGGTCAAGTTGCAAAACCCGTCTTATCCCAAAATCGTTATTTCGAGATAATATGCAAAAACTGTTTTAGCAAATGTTTAAATAGTCATTTTTAATAGAAGAATAGTTCGTTTAAGGCGAGTTATGTGCTATTTTATTAAAATTAGGTAAGGAAATGGATAAGACGTCAGTAGTAATATTATACTTGTGTAAAAAACCTATGAAAAAATGCGGGATTTGCAACAATAATGTCAATAAAAAGCAAATATATAAGTGGATAAGACGGATTTTGCTGCAGTAACGTAATTTAGGATATAAGAATAGGCTACTTTTACTGCAGTTTGGGACTATGTTTATGTAGATTTCAGGGTCCACTATTAATATATATCATATATTGTTGTTACTATTAACACAGATTATACAGATTATAATCTTTGCTTTTTCTTTATTGTTTTTCGTGGTTCCAATTTTCGGAATCGGGCACTAGTTAGGTAACTAGTTTGCGCACATAGCACGCCCACTTATGGCCTCTAAAATTGTGCACAGCGCCTGACCGGCACAGTTATTAGGATATCGGAAAACCGAATAGCGTCATCCAGTATTTACGCGTACCTTATCATGGTTACGATATGCGCGAGTCAATTTTTAACGCAACACCCGCTAATAACGTTACCGCCTGACGTAATTTGCGGATCAATTACACCAAGCGCTCTTTCTAAATAACCTCTGATAACGTTTAAAAATTGCTTAAATGCCTTAAATGGTCATGTGCGGGTATTTGACAACCGGAACCGGCCGGCGGCGGCGAGATCTTTTATTTTAGGTTATGTTTGAATTGTTTTGAATTATTGCTTTAGTTTTATTAGGTAATTTGATATTTAAGTAGCTGGGATTAGTTTTAATTAAATAAATATGGCCCAAAATATGGATTCCACCTCCTCCAATACTAAAGTACCTATAAAGAGTCTTAGGTTTACAGCAGATGACGACTTAGCCCTTCTAAGAGAATTTGTTGCTTGTTGCCCTAAACCCACTGGCAGACGTTGAACAATAAAGCACTGGAAATAAGCACTTTAGCTCTTTAGTTTTAAAATACCTAGTAAACAAAACAATTTCAAAGTTTTAAATTCAAATTCAGAATTCTTTCCGATCCGATAACTATAAATGAAGAGAGTTAATCCTCTTCAGGTAAAGGAACCTCACGTAAAGGAAATAACACTTGGCCTTATTAACGTCCATGCACGCTATTCGGTTTAGAGATATCTCTCTATTGCGCTGTTTATTGTTATTTTACGCGAGTTTATTTTTGCGCAAAGGAAATTTGACTCGTTTGCACATCGTCATAAAAAACAATTTTCGAACCACGAATTAGAGACAAGATTTTTATCTGTATACTTATAGGATACCTAATCTGTGCTATTAATATATGTCACCTATAGTATGCAAGACAGTTATTAAATAATTAATTTACTTGATATTCCAAAACCAAGAAAAATACACAAAAACTTAAATATATGTATATATTTTAAATGGATAAGGCGGGTTTTGCAACTTGACGCCTCATATCTAAACACCCTTTATTGTTAATATTTTAAAATGGGTACTTTCCATTTGTTCTTTAATAAATAAATAATTTTGTTCCAGGTGTAGCGGAAATAATACTCAAGACTCAAGTCAAAATCAGTCTGAAATGTTTGGCAGCGAACGCCATCAAAATAAACAAGGTACCCTACCGGGGTAACGTACCACCGGGTCTGGAAGAATTTATAGAACTTCACGGAAGAGGCATAGAACGGTGGGAGAAGAGTAGGAAAGAGCTGAACGCTTTATGATTATATTTTAGCCTAGTTCTAGTCGATTTGCTAAGGCAGAACGCGATTTAAATAAAGCGCGATATAGCGTAAGTAAAAAATAGGTAACTGAACAAAAAGGCGCTTGTTTGTGTTAAATTGAATAAAAACATTAAGGGAGGTTTTCCAAGTAGCATTTTTGGACACATTTTAGGTAATGTTTCTAATAATTGTGTCTGTTTCTTGACACAAAATGGAAACGGTATGCTACAAATAGGAAACATTTTTTCGAAACCTATATATTTTATATGGCGTTTTTTCATGTTTCTAATGCGTTGGCCCTAGCCGTTTCCTGAAATGTTTCCATGCGGAAACAAAAACTTTTAGAGAAAATGTTTCGAAACATTTTCTGCAATTTGTGTCCACGTTGTTTCCGTTTTCAGCAGCCACTGTTACTAAATGTGATGAAACAAAATACCGAACTAAATTAGTGTATGTCTGTGTGTGGATTTCAAAATGAAAACAACCATCAACAATGTCGACCTCCGCCATAATTTTTTTTGTCTAAAGATCTTTGTTTTTAGGTTTTCTCGCACAAAAAATATCTGGCAAAAGCAAATTCATCGTTTAATTTAATATTGTACTTGCATCCCAAGCAGCATTTGGACGTCGGGACAACGTTGTGTCACGCGACCAAACGTCGGGGTGCAACGTCGGCACAACCTCGTGCCATCCCTAGTCTGCACTAGTTTGGAGAATAATTTTTGGGTCGAAACGACGTTGGATACCTACGATGGCTAGCAGCCTAATTTAGTGCAAACTGCAACGTTGTTTATAATCCTAATTCACAGAAATACAAAACTATAATAATATGGCGTCTAAGTCGCGTTTTGTTCTAAATTGGGATAATTATAGTAAAAATATTATTTTTATGATTTAGTTAGAGACATATGCCAGATGGCAGTATAAGAAAACAAAACAAAAGTATTTAAGTGTGGAGGATGTTTGAAGATCATAATTATTGAAACACTTTAACCGAATCTGTAACTCGTTACCCAAGGCAAAAAAGTTAAACGCAAACAACTTTATTGATAAATGTATTGTTTCTACTTTGAAAAATACTAATGGGCCTTAAAATTAAAGAAGTTTTAAAAAAATTCTTGAATTTTTTTTTAGTAAAATGAGAATAATTTATTCGCAGTCGAAAAAATAGTTTCCGCGTGTTGTTTACGGTCAAATATTTCAAGTTAATGTATTCAAAAAGCAGGAATTGCTATTTCAGGAACGAAACATTTTCTTATTCAAGAACATGGCGGCTTTCACTTTGTTGTTTTGGAGATTAAGATGGAGTAGTTCGAGTAGTCGCATACTGGACTAATAAAGTCGCACTTCAGCCTTAACAGGTAGCATACTAGTCGCAAGATTGCCTAATTTAGTCATCCTAGAGTCTAGCTTGTGCCGCCCTCTATATTCTAAATAAACGAGGGAGTAGATAGAGTATCGGTAATATGTCGATGTATACTTTAAATTTAGTTTTATATGTGCTTTTCTTACGTCCCATTTTAATTAAGTTTTTTTTATAAAAACAAAAACAGCACTGAAAATTTTATATACAGAACAAGTGAAAATTTAAGATTTAAGGTTATGGTTTAATACAGTTACAAAAAGGTAGTGGCTCGACGTCCTACCAACGTAAGATAAGGAAATCTAAACAACGTTGGAATTAGTAAAACAGACGACGTTTGCATAACGTTGGAATAGGTCCTGAAAGTGACGTTAGAAAACTCTTTATTGCCCAACAATGTAACTACGTTGTCCGAATCACCTAAAGATCACTTAAGCAAAAAATGTTACAAGACAACGTTTATTCGACGTCGCAGAAGCTTTCACTTTGTTGTAGTACTAGTGCAACGTCGGCACAACGTTACAACAACGTTTACATTTATTTTAATACCCAGGGTACGGAGCTAACTATTTTTTGTAACTAATCCAACGTTGTGTTTAGTAAACATGTGGTCGCAAGTCGTGAAAATGCTACTTGGGATATTTTTAATGCTCCTTCTATATAGTATTATTTGTTGCTACAAAATATTTTTGTTTGAAATAGATTTTTATTTCTAAATCATGGTTCTAAAAATAAAAATATACAAATTAATGTAAGTAGAACGCGTTCTTATGAGTTTTTTAGTTAAAAACGCTATCGCTAGCCAACATAGCGGAATTTTAATTCATTATTTTATAAAATTGACATGAAATCGGACACAAATCACCTGCATTATATCATATTTGTGTCTAAAAAGGGAGAAACTTGTGTTTCGAAAATGAATCGACAATAAATGGAAACCTATGTTTCCAAAATGTTTTGATTTAACGCTCCCTGTGTAGAAATTTGGAACTAGTTACCTGTCAACAACGCCAATCAAAACTTATGGTCAAAATAATTAAAACGCTTTTATTTACTTATTATAACACAATTATAACATAAAACATTTCTCAGCAGAGATTTTGTTTCGATTTTGTGTCTAAAAATGCTACTTGGGTTGGTTAAAATTAGAGACCTACAAGGTACTTTAATTAGTGATGGGATAACTCGAGCGAAAATTCGCTCGAGTACTCGATTATTGAAATAACGGACTTCGCTCGATTATGAACGAGCGATGCAAGCGACGAGTTACGAGCGACGACCGCAAGCGATCCTAGAATGAAATAAATTGAAATCCGATTTTAATGTGACATTCTCGATAAAAAGCCGAGTGAATTTTCTACATACATTGCAGGTAGCAAATTTATACGACGCCGTGTATATATTTATCCGTTGCGTATCTGAGGGACAAAATTTTACGACCTACATCCGCAATGCTTTGAAATAAACTAAATCAAGCGAACCGCTCGTCGCTGGCTACTTGCCATTCATCACCGAAAGAATATTATGTGCCCTGCGCACGCAACGTACTACTTGGCGCTTGGCGTTAACGAGTACTTATAACAAGCGAAGGACGAAAAACCGTATTTTTAAATACGAGCGATATTTCGCTCGAGCGATCACTCGGTTATTGCAATCGCTTGAAACCCGAGTACTCGATTATTGAAATTAATCGGTTTTTCCCATCAATTACTTTAATAGGACTGACTTAAATTCTGGTGTATCAGTGACGTTTTATTTTTTTGGGTCGTGTTAAAATATATAGTAGGGTAGACCCGATTTTTTTTACTTTTATTTAATAAATAATACAGGGTGTTTAGAAAAACAAGTGCCATCTCTCGTGGGGAAATTCCTCACTTAAAAATAAGATTTATTTTTTATATTTAGGTCCGATGCTTTGTTTCGTCTCTACAAGGGATTAAAGTCTTTTTTTTTCGATTTTTTTATAATTTCCTTTCAATTGCTTTTAGAATAATATAATATTCTTAATATAAGAAAATATTATTAATATTTGTACTGGGTCCCCTAAAATGTGTTTATAATGAAATGGGCGCTTTTTTGTTCTACTTGTTTCTACTCTATTTTTTCCAAAGTGGTTAAATGATGACGCCGGCGGTATTGTTAGTGTATAGAAAAAATACTATCATTCCACGGCATGATATTAAATAAACATTTTGTCGTTGACGGCGGTATGAACTAACCAAGTAGATAAACAAAAAAAGAAGACCGAAAAAAAACCGAAAAATAATCAAAACAATCTTGCGGTGTTGAGTTTTTAGTCTTTTATAGCATTATAGGCATATTTTCTTTAATCGAAGAGTGGAAATATCAAAGGGGGAAAGTGCCAAAATTATTTTTTTGATGTAAATGAGAAAAACACAGTAGAACTGAAACTAATAAATTGTTAAAATATCATTTAAAATACATATAATATACATAAACAATAGACGCTTTCCCTTGGCACTTGTAACTGTTAGGACATGTAGCATAGTATTTATTACGTTTCTAATTTAATAACTTAATATTGAAAAATTTGGCATTCTTGTGGTTTTTCCACTCTTCAATCCTCAATTTTAATTATCTTAGAATCAGTAGAAGGCAAACCAATTAAGGGGTGTTTTTATGGGGCCGAATTACAGAAGACAAAGTTTCCTGGTATTGATCTAGTTGAAATAATACTAGCTCACTGACAGAAAAATAATATACTTCTTTTCTGCAATACTGCCGGCGGGTTAATTTAGCCAGTTTGTTTTTTTTACGTTATCTCGGATGAATCGTTGCCGTTCTGATATTTGTGATTTTGCTTGTTATTAATAAAAAATGATATATATATGTATATAAAAATATAATATATGAACTATAGAAAAATATACTCTAAAAATTAAATTTTTACTAATGGTTCTATCTATAGCTTTAAATATATATGTTTTCTTTGAGTTTTATTTTATTTTTTTGCTGCGTATTTATTTTTCTCGTAATAATTATTATCTTGGATTTTGAGACTGTATTTTGTAATACCAAGGGGCTGTAACGATATTGTTTTTATTATAAATTGTATAGAAAAGAACAAAATAAAGTGAAGACGTTTTAAATTATTATAGTTTTATTTCTTGTAGCAGCTCTCGAAAAGCTCACAAACGAATGTTGTTCATAAAATTATATTATTCATAATATATACAGGGTGGCTCATTAGTGCGGGGATGTCCAATATCGTCGTTGCTGACAAAATAGTCTAACAGGCAGCAGCGCCGAAAAAATTCTCTGAATTTACCAAAGCCAGTTTTTTCACAGTTGATTACAGTAGTTATGTACCGGGTGGCCAACTAAGAATGGACGCGGGCTGTATCTCAGAAACTATACTTATCGTATAACTTTGGGAAAAACATTCTAATAAGTAGATCGACCAAGAGAAATCGCTGGAAATTATTCTCAAGTTCGAAAAATGTCCGCTAGGGGGCGTTTCTCTGCTAGCCAATTAGAAAACAGGTTTTTTTCTCAAAAATATGCAGGCGAACAGGTATTTTAAATATTGCTACTGTAATCATCGAGAAATTTGTAATTTTTTTGATATAGAGTATTTTGCTCATAAATATATAAATCTGATAAAATAAAGTGGTGGGGGAAGGTTAAACTTGCTTTTATTAAAATAAGGATAACTCTGGTTTGGGTTACCCGATTTAA